TACATTTTAACAAATTAGTCTAATGAATATTGAATATGATTAATGGAAACAACAAAAACAAATGATAAAGTTTATAAAAATTTCGCATTTTCCTGAATAGAGGTTGTATAGTTGATAATAAAAATATTGATATCATAAATGTCAACAAAGTTTTGGGTAGAATTTTATCTTTGTACTTATAAAAACAGTTCTCAAGCTGTAACTTAGTGAGATGTATCATATTAATCTCATATCATGCATTTAATGCTCGTTTATCACCGATTGCGGAAATATTGAAAACTATATTAATAGAAAAGACGTTGCGATAAGTACAGGTCGAAAGTGTTCCGGTAAGGTGTACACCGGTAGGATAGGAGCATGGCCACGGGTAATGATTGATGAGCATCGGCCGCGTGGGCAGTAAACACGTCGGCGAATTCTTCTACTACATAATACACCCACTTACTCGCTCGCTAATGATTTCCGAACACATCTGGTCGGTTTAAATATCTCGAGTGCTACGACTTCCAACCACTAACGGGAATCATACAATCTGATTAATAAAACCATACGAGAGCGCACAAATGATTGTGGAATGCGTACTCACAACACGAACAGTTTTAAATTGTATTCGAACCATTTGTGCGTAACAGATGTTTGTGTTGACATCTCTCGCTCCGTGGGCAACGGCGGTCCGATTCGGGAACAACATCCAATGCCACCGCGCAAACGTAAACACTGAACGCGTGGTCAATAAACGCACTATTTCGCGCGCAATTAAGGTGTATGTTTCACATTGATATAGGTAGAGGGTCTGGTTGCTATAGGTTGTTGAGTTATCGTGTGATGTAGGTAGGTGTAGGGTTTACGACGAGAGACGCACAGGCACAGGGCACGATCATCGCAGTGGGCGGCATGGCGGCGGCGTCGCGCGTCAGTCTCGCGCGCGCTGTCCACCGACGGCGGTCGACGGCCAACTGACGGCGCCTTGCCGTGGCGGCGGCGGGCTCTGGCGATGTCGACTGCTCGCCAATTCCGCATTTTAAAATATTCCGTTACTTGTATAGAGTACAGTACAAAGGCATGGTTAACTGCTGATGAGGATCCAGCTCTGTCATCTTGCCGCATCGCCTTGATCCGTTAGAGGCCTGCTACACGTCATCGCGAACCGTCATCTGCGCGATGACTGTGGAACACAAGTTAATGTTATGTTTGATCATGTCCGACCGGTCTATTGTACTTTGCCCCTAAAGCTGGAGTAACTTGAGAAACTTGAGTCATCTTTTGATATCTTGAGACAAAAGAGCAAATTAAGTTGAAGTTGATAGACGAGTTTACTGTCTGTCAAAATACACTAGAATCTGATATAGAAATTACAGCATTATTAATTTATAAATATGGAATTAGCTGTTCCTGTGCGGCTCCATCCTCTTGACATGACAAAAACTTTAGTCAATTATATACATTGTGTAAACGTCCAATTGAAAATATCATAATTTAAATGGTGAAATGACAAAGACGTCCCTTCTCGCAGACCAATTTTTCTAATTTACTTATCTCCTAAGTTTAATATCATTAAATGCATTCGATGCATGTCGTGTGTAGGGGCTTTTTATCAAAGTTTATCATATTTGTGCAGAAAAGTAGATAAAAACTATAACACAGTTATATACAGTTGTAGGAAATAAAACATAAATTATTTAATGAAACCAATTAACATACGCTTTGAGACAAAACTTGTTCAATTATAAAAAATCTTAAAGTGTAGTTGTAAATAATTAGGAAATGTCTTGACTTCCGGGTATGACGAATATACATATTATATACTTACATTACACATACATAAGTTTGTTTGGCCTACAGTCCATCTGATATAAATGTTACGTCTTAATCGCAAACAAGTTGACAGCCTTCAGAAATGATATTTTTATTTAAAAATGTTGAACAAACAACATCGTGCTCCGGCAACTACAGTATTTGGCTATATTTTGACGTGAGTTGAACCATCATAAACGTCAAAGTAATTTATAAATTTTCCGCAATTTGGCAATTTTTTCTAGTCATACAAATTGAGTATGTATTGTTTTTGGTAGTGGTTTCTGTCGGTCTGTCTGCGATCGCGACGCGACGCGAGCGCGGCTCATCGCCGGCACTTCCGCACTCCGCTTATAGTTCGTGCGGAAGAGCAGGGAGGCCGCGCCCGCCGTTTATTTAACAATGTTTGTTTATTCAAACCATATACAAGTTTATGAAAGCTCACAACTTTTCATTCTTCAAATTTTTAAGAGACGAATATAAATATACGAAACTGGCGCTTTTTAGCAAGTGCAACAATCGGCAAAATTCCTAAGTAAGACAAAGTCTAACTTACGCTTAACTTATTTTGAGAGAACGCGTACTATGTCAATGTTTACAAAAGCGTATTACAAGTTTGATGTTTTTTATTGTTTTCTTCGCTCTTATTTGTATATCACGAACTTCGCGAGTAAGTAATGGTTTACGTCATTATACAATTAGGAAGTGTTTCCTGCACGAAGTTTTGTGTTGCGCCGCACGTACACTGTCGAAGATTGGATGACGAAATACAAGAACGCCGTTTCGAAACATAAGATTTATGATAGACCGAGGTATAAGGCAGGCAAGGTTAAACATACATCGGGCAGCTCAACACTCCGCGTAGTCGGGAATAAAACTATATGTTTATTACCAAACCTATAGCGATACGTAGGACGCGTAAATCAATGTGTCATCGACTGAGAGAAAATAGTTGTATGTAGATAATTTCTATCGATAAACATCTCGCCGTGGCCGCGTATCTGTGATAAGTAATGTTTCTTGTTTACTTCTTTGGAAATTTGACGGGAGATTCGTCATTTCCACCTATGTTCTATTTACTCAATGATTATTAACTTCTTACTCATCACTCATCACAAAAAGCCCTACGATCGTTCTTACAGGATAAAATAATCATAAATATGTTCATTATAGTATCTTTCAGTACACATGTCTATTGAGAATAGTTTCCACATTTAATAAATCTGGATTATCATCTTATTATTGCTTTTACTTTGGTCTAAGGCAACTTTACCAATGTATCCGCAATTGACACATGAAGATATTATGAGCTTTAACTAATTACAAAACTCAACTTTCCGCTTCGAAGGCAGCCTAATAACACTCACCCTGAATGTGGACCCCCGATAGGTCCGAAACTAGTCGGTGCCATCACCGGAAAAATAGACGTGAGTTATAATTTCTCGCGAAAGTTTAACCAATTTAATTATTAGCTTTTTCCCAAAAGAATTAACACGCAGAGAAATATTAGCTTTATTAGCGGTCTAGTAATATGTTAGAAACGACCATAAGTGTTATGATTTACAATGTGAGAACATCAATAAATCATTTATCAGTCAACGTTAAATTCACTGAAGCGTGGTCTGTGACGCAAATCAGATGCATTGGATTCCATACGGCAGAGTTACCGACAAACATTGCCCGTCTACAATAACATTGTACTAAGAGAATCTATTTAGTGCCAAGAGCTACATTTACACACCATCTTATAGACAAGAATACAATAAATGAAAATGATTGGAAATATGTAGTTAGTGTCCTTTTATTAATGAAAACACTATTCATTTAAAAAACTAAAAGATATGCAAAACTTAAGGTTTTCAACACAATTCGTTGCTGGTCAAAATCTATATTGTGCAATTTAAACGCAAATATTTTCCAGACTTGAAAACGAAAACTAAGTCTTGTTCGTCTAAAGTTTTATTATAATTCGTTGTATGTATTGCGTTAGAATTGATCAAGAGATATTCCCACCTACATTTAGACTATCATGACAATAATAAATATTAAATAAAAGATAACATTGTTACGTACATTTCGTTTTATCCAATCTTGATATTTATAATCGCTTACAAATATTATGATGTAATTTACGAATTGGAACGCTGCCATGCAACACATAGATAAATAATACTGGCATTTATCAAACGAGATGCCGCCTTTTTTCAAAACATCTTATATACAGGGTGATCAAAGAAAATTGACATTAAATTTTATGATAGTCATAATATAAAAGGTCCAATTAGACAGATATGAAAAACAAACAATAAGCGTGACTGCCGATATCATAAATGCATCTAAGAAATGCTGACTTCGAATTTATTCTACGTTTTATTTTTAATAGCAAACTACCTGGTGTTTTTAAAACAAGCAAACTATGATGCGATGACTCTGGTATCATTAATTCGATCAGATGGCGAAACACTGCGACGGAATAGATAAGACGTGGGTGGGAAATGACAATGAACTCACTGACTTAGCTTTTTTAATAAATAACAGATTAAAAACAGCGATCCAGTCACTCTTACCAATATAATAATTTTAATTTAGTAGGTACATATTAAATCTGATAATGTTCCATACATTTTTAATTTAAAACAATAGAGAGATGTGATATACCGCAACCCTGGTTCCCAACCGGCACCAGCAGGGGGCTGCGCGGTGTATTTCTGGATTGGTACCGTGCGGAAAGTTTAGTCACGTCTCGAATCACGGGACGCTGTCTCCGATCGACCTTCCGCAATACAAAATAACACAAACAAAGCACGAGGATCATGCTAAATTGGTTACGGAAGTGTTACGATGTACCCCCGCCTCGCCCGTGCTCTGCCCGTATGCACCATGCAGTTGTTTACACTGCGGATGTGTATTGCGTGATCGTATACCTCGCTGATCATCGTTATATCGGACGTGATCTATTTATGTCATGAAAGGGTATAATTTAAAATATTGCGCTTTACAGATTCAGACTTAATCAAAAAGCTTTTATTTATAATTTTGGATTTAATATTATTATTTAATCTTAACAACTATTTTATAAGTAGCATAAATTAACTTACCGTTCATATGTTTGCATATCGTGTCCTTATCCCGAAGGTCTTTGTCCACGGTCCACACGGGAGAGTCGGGCTTGTTGGAAACTCTGCGAATAAAGGCATTGTTTTAAACTATATCGCATAAAATAAAACGGACACGACATTCAAAGTCCTTGGCGGATCAAATGCAATTTACTGGGATAAATTAGACGTAGATCAGTCACGGGTGGATTAAGAATCGTGAATCATGATTAACCAAGTAACAGACCACGTGCTGGATACAAACTAGCTATAGCTAATGGGTTGAGATCAGCCACGCCTTTGTAATTACAGCCGTAAATGGTCAGCGAAAAAAATTACAATAATTCGTTTGAGAACAAAAGGAGGAGGATAAATAATATCGTTTTCACAAAGTCATTCGCTGTTAGTCCTGTGGTTCTGAAGAGTAAGTTAGAACAGTTGGTGTAGGACCTAGAATTGAACAGTTTATCAGCAGTATCATTGTGGTTGCATCTAGTCATCATCTTGTCTGGTGTAGGAGATCACAGGAATCGCAGACGACGCGAGTCGCATTGTAATGTGTCAGATGCACGAGCACGAGCAGAAGCAATATCTCATTGTGCGAGGCGTGGGTCAACGCTCCGCCGCGGCCGTGTGTCCGCGGTTCAAGATCGAGGGAAACAAGACTGAACGTCATCGACAAAATTAAACTGATTCATGTTGCACCCAAAACGGACGTTGCGGCCACTAATTGCTCAGTTATTATTATTTTTATTCGACTATCCGTGTTATATAAACCGCAAAGCATTACCCAGAGCGTCCAATTTGATTTAATGCCAAGAATGTACGTGCGAATGGCAGAATTTTGTGTAAATTTACAATAATTATAATAACTGGGGAGTATGTGACATTTCTACAGTTTCACAATTTAGATTCGTAATAATTTCAAAGAGATTGTACCCGACAAAAGTCTGGTAGTTGTGGTATGCAAATTTTACTATTAAATTAATACGATATACCTACTTTATCAAATTATATATTTTATAACTGTTTGTACCTATCAAGATTGTAATGCCATACGTGGTTTTATGTATTTTGCATTTGGTTATGTAAATCATTTTAACACACATCATCTAAGATTACTCGTATAATAATACCAATTTATGAGCTTAATGACATAAAAAAATCTATGCTACAATAGTGACGAACGATGACAAAGGTATGAATTCATTCTAACCACCATTTGTCACATTACTTAGTAAAAAGTCTTGAATAGTGTTTGTAAGACTATAAGGTTACAAATAATCATATATTTTCACACACAACAGTTAGTGAATTAGATGTATAAATAAAATTGATAAGATATAAATAATAAGGTCGGTGAGTTTTTAATAAAACATAAATGTTATTCCCCGTCGCGATATGCAGGTGAAATTGTTTGGAAAGTCGAGCGTTGACTAATTATTAATGGTTAGTGAAAGTTACTTGCTAGTTCGCAAACATCAACATTATCCTTAATTGAATAGTTGACAATAAAAAAAATAAAAAAATACGAAGTAGATAAGATCTGTATTATTATAATAGAAATTTTAGATTCCTTAAAATAAGAAAAAATGAAAGTGAAACCTCTATAGTTATATCGAGGAGTTATACAAGTAACCCGTAGCGCATGTGATAAATCTGTACGATCATTGGAGATTGAGAGTGTGATTTGGTTATGTCGGTAAACCTGTAAGGTTAACCATCATGAAACCCCAAAGCGAGGCTATATAAAAACATTTATATAAACAAGATGATGACTTAAATACATTTCTATTAACTTACTGTCGAGCCTGCCGCGAGCATCGCCGTAGCTCCGCGGCGAACACGCAGAACTCCCCGAAGGTGAGGATGAGCGACTTGCGCCGCGCACATTGACGCGCGCACACCAACATTTCGAACACTGCAACAATACACCCTGCATTAATATTTCATACATAAACTAAGATAATCGTAAATCAATATAAAGTGTTCTCGTTGACAGATAATTTAAAAAACTCATCGGTGCATCTTATAAGACTGAAAGAGAAATTTCCAACAAAAGGGACCAAATGAAATTAACAAGTATCAATATATTTTTTTACTTCATAAGGTATATTATATTGTCGGACCGATAGGAACCTACCGTTTAATCAGTCAGAGGTTAAATGATTGCTACTTGAGGCTGCACAACATATTTATGATATCAAAACACCGCATGCGTCATCGCTGTGATTTTATGTCCAGGCCGTGAAGAAGCACTCAAATTTATGACTGCCTTTAAATTTCTTGTTAAATTACATTGATTTCATGCTTACTTTGAAATTAAATAACTGCTTCCGACAAAAGTCAGGTGATGCAAATGTTTATATGGAGAAAAGAATAATTAATCATAATGAATATTGTGCACATCGCTGAGATTTTTTTTACTTAAATCGAATTTACTTGATAGTTAATCTGACATAGTCGTAAACTGCATTTCCATACAAAAAAGCATTCTGAACTGAAAAACGGCGAACAAACACGAGTGGATTAAGTCAGTAGTGAGTGTTGATTGCTTACAGCTTACAGGCAGCAATTACCGACGAGATTAATGTTTTACGGTTTAACCACGAGGATAACACGACCAATTAGGACCTACTCGCCACGAGACGTACATATTAATTAAAACAGCTTCATAGTAAGCAGAACAATAATACGCTTCCTTAATAACGTGCTCATACTTCAAACGAGCTGTGTATTGTCTTCCGTGCAAAAAACATGTTCCGTGACCATACTTATTGCGCAGATCAACTCGACGCTATTAAAATAACAATATAAACTGTTCATATTTTTTCTAAGTCTCTATATATTTGGGCAAACACGAAACTTAACGATTAATATGGCGTTCAACTATATGATCATGTCCATACTAATATTTCGTTTAATTAATTCTTCACTACCGGATATGCTGTATTCACATGGTGACCATACTTACTTTGGCTGAATAACGAGCATTTTGGTATGCTCTCTCGGCTTAATTTTTGATAAGTAAATCAGTCCACATGTGGTTAGATAAATTACGTTGTGATCACCAATTTAGGATGTATAGGTAGCCTCCAGTAATCTTAAACATCATAAGCTAGCACTAGGAATTTCTTGTTAAGGTCGAAGTCTGTGGAACGTTACCCTACATAAGAAGCTTACAACACCGCGATGGAAGGGCCTTTAACGTGAAACCGTAGCGGTTGATGTAAAGTATCTGTACGCCATTTATAGATATTGGTTATATTATCAGGGTGAGCAATAGCGATGAGATCACTGGCGGCGTAACGCAACACCTGTCGCAATCATCGGTATCTAACGGCGAATACGTACTACGAGAACAATAAAAACAAAATAAACTGCGTATTTACAATTGTTAGGCCCTGTTTCATGTTAGTCACACAACGTCATGTTTTACAAGGACTTAGACATAATTGACTGGACTCTTAATAATTGCTCAGAATACATGTGTACAACTAATAGGAAATTCCCTTACTTATAACAATTACAACAGCGAGTTAAAAATCTTACTAATATTATAAATGCAAAAGTTTAGATGGATGGATTGTTAGAGTTTGTAGCCTAAATGGTTGAACGGATTTCGGTGAAATCTATACCAAGATGTAGAGAATAGTCTGGAAAGGTGTTGTTTTTTGTCTTAATTCTACGCGGACGAAATCAAAAGTCAAAATGACTTGATAACCTAATCGTACATCACACGTATTAAGCAATTTGAGACATTACAAGTATTATAAATCTAATTTAAGAAATATTTACTGTAATCTACTACAATCGCATCATAAATCATTGAATGTCTGCGATAAGGTGGTTTATTCACTTAAGTTATAATTGTATTTTATCTACCGATGTTAATTAGCATTTCGCCGACAAGAGGCTGTAAGTTATAAGGCACTAATTACACTGACTTTTGCGAGCCTTAATGAGTCTGGTAATCGAACGTATCGGTTTGAAGCAGGGAGGTCGACGTCTGAAAAAATGCCGTCTTAAAAACGCCGGCTGGCGGTACTGTTTGTTATCTCTTTCATGAAAATAAACGAAACAAAAGTTATAACTACATTCTCAAAATGTGTTATTTGCTCGGAAGTTGTACGTTTTGAAATAAATTTGTCTTTGCCCAATTGTTTTAAAAATTAATAGCAGTCGCTTACTACAACCTACATAATATAACTTGCGAAGACATTGCGAATGTTGGTAAGAAAAAGAATCTCTTGAGAAAGAGGGGCAGTCGATAAACTACTATTTAGGTATTTTACGTGAAAATAAAAAAAGAAAACCTAGATATATAAAAACACTCAGTATTAACTTAAAACCATTTGCATGAAGACATTAATAACAATAAAATATTTAATTCTGAACACACGGTAGTCACTTTAATAGGCGGGACCATAAATACTATGAACAATGTACACGAGTAAAAATAAAGTGTAATAAATTATCTACTAAATGTTCAAATAGAATACCAAATAGGTTACACGTGGCTATAAAAAATTAACACACGTCAAAAATGTGCTAAATGGGAGTAACAAATTTATTTGTGATTTTGTAGGATCGATGTATTCAGGGCCAGATCATGGCAAAAAGTTAGTGTTAACATAACGTAACCCGGTAAAACAGCTTGTAGACATCAACGTACTGATATGTACAAATTGTTTGAAACACGTTCTTTTTCATCTTTACTAGCTTAATCTTAGTTAGCTCTGTCTCTAGAATTCAAAGTAGAAAGTTGAGAGACTTCTTGGCTCAGACTTATTACATTTAGGTCGCTCCTAACTTTAATGCTGTTATAAAATCACATGTATGTCTTAAACTCGACGCCCGTTTGTCTATGTAAAAGACAATCTTATCAAATGTAGACTATATCTTAATAGTTAGTTAAATACACGTAAGATTTATGAGATATTAAATAGGAAAGGGCAAAACACCATCTGCGTCGTACCCGTAAATTGTTTGATGTGACACGAAGTAGTCATAGAAGTGACGCGCGGGTCACGATTGAAATCTCCGCAACAGATCGCCGTTAATTTATTGACTTCAATATTCATTGCCCTGAGGTCATGTTACTGTTTGCGGCGATGGAGAAACCCACCTTTGACATTTAAACTGTTTTTGTTATGTCCATTGTTAGCTACACTGCATCAAAACATATTTTAATAACATCATAGTTATTTATTCATCCGCAATGCAACGTACAAACATGTACATTTATTTTTTGTACGTAAGTTCGTTTATCTAAAGGTGAAAATACAAAATTCTTAACACAGTTGTACGACAAACTGCTATACCATTTGCTACAGGGCTCAAATAAAGTGTTCAACATAAAAAATACTGTAGTAACATTTCTCGCAAGCCACTCCAAATCAACGCTGAATTTGTAAAAATCAGCATTAATTTTGGGATATGATATAAAAATTTAGATTCACTGGCATATAGCCAGTTGGGATAACCTGGTGTGACTCTCTTTAATGAGGTCACATTATTTACGGCACAACCAGCCAGTTTTTTTGAGATTTAATCTGTAAGAGCTGTTTGTGTCGACACTATTCACCTTAATTTTAAAAATGTTATTAATAAACAAGTAATAGGTATCGATTTGACGGGAAATAAAAGCAAATACTGGTGGCTGGAAAATGTCACGACTAGAAAGTGGTCTTGGGCGGAACGTTATTATGTACTTATTTGGCTAAATTAGTGGCTGACCTTATCTGACAAATCTTGGACAACATTCCGTAAAAGCTTATCGGGAAGTTTCACGCTGCCATCATATTTTATATTCATCAAAGCAATATCTGTTTCATTTCTTTTACTACAGCACATATCAATTTGGATAAGTTATTTAAACTCATTTAACCGTCTAACTATAGACTGTTAGGACTCTCTAAAAAGGCGCAATAAATGAATGTTATCTATCTAACAGTAGCAAATGGAAACTTTAATTGCAATCCTTTCGTGGCTTGTGTTATTTCAACGGTTTGTCTTGTTTCACCTGCTGACTATGACGTCATTTATCTTCCGTCAATGCGTACACTCATCGAATTAGATCAAATAACTTCGTCTTGGTAATAAATTAGAATCGACGTGAGTAAACGTAGCGAGGACATTCACATCACTATTTCCTCATACGTCTGCCTCGCATCACGTGACTCCACTCGTTTATATCAACATTAAAGTTAAATATGCATCCGTAATAAAGACAACTGTACCAGTAATGATAAACAACTCATAAATAAATACTTCATGCAATACATTTTGCTATCTAATTTTACATTAACTGTTGTAGTTTATTTTCCTTTACAACAAAAGAATTTTAAATGAAGACAGTGCCTTATGAAGTATTGGATAAAGATGATGACTCAATCTTCTAAATATAAAAGAATTCTCCGAAATCTACATCTTTCTCTCCTATTCAGTTTTATGCTACGTTATGTTACTAATATTAGTGTAACAGTTTGTATGGACAAATGGATGTGTATTAAAAGTTATCTAATAAAGGGCTGAACAGTTCGCTATCAAATTTATTATACATGTAGAAAATAGCCTGGAAGAACACATAGGTTATTGACTACTTTTCTTTTTTTCATTTACATACTGGGGGACAAAAGGTAACACCTCCTGTATAAAAAAGTGTACTCACCCTGTGTTTTAGTGGGATAGAGTTCGATGTCGTTGAAGAGTCCCTGCACCCGGTGGGCGGGCGCGGGTCGGTCGGGCGGGCCGACGCGGCACTCCCAGGCGCTCGCCACCTCCCTGCAAACATCTCACGATGCAATCGATGCTAATTGATAACGCATACCTCACCTACGCAATGTTGCACAAAGCTTACGATCCCATAAGCGATCGCGTACTTACTAACTATCGCACTTAATTGATAAATGGGCTCTAAAAGTTCCGCCAAATAAATTTAGCAACAGATATCTTCACTAAAGACTTTTAACTTATTATTAAATGAGATAGTAAATGTCTAAGGAGGTAATACAATTTAAGTTATGAACAAATTAAAACAGGCTTAGAATATCAGAAGATTGTAACGTAAGTAATTACATTTTTAGTAATTCTGGTACAAACAAATTCCAGGTAGTAAAATCGGGTGAACCACAAACTGGTATAACATAAAATTATGGTGACATTTGTAGTATTTCCGTATTGCGACTTGACACAACAATACATGTTTTCGAGTCATGTTACTCCAAAAGGCTTTGTCGACAGATGTCATTCACAAATGAACCAAAACAATGACGTTATTTTCTTTGGTGTCATGTGATAAATACTGCTGAGTAGACCGGATGGTATAGTGTTACCATCCGGTCTACATACCAATTGCAATACGATATTCCTAGACACTACAAGAATTATAATATTCTTTTCTACCCAGCTAAGAATACACAACCTTGTTCACACAAAATTAAACTTATAAGCAAAACCAATAAAAACGCTGTAAACACCTTCAATTGAAGTGCTTAAGAGTTTTGAAGTTATTCAGAAATTGGTTACTCAAATGACAATCGACATGTCCTTTTCGAAGGTCCTTACATATTGGTTCTACTGATGACATCACTTGTACGTTAATTCTTATATTAAACAAGATATACTAACACTATTGCAAAGGAGCATCTACAGTCGAGAACTATTATGTCCTAACTATATCAGTGCATAGTCAATTAACCGATGTTTATAATGAGACTAGGTCGAAGTCAATTATAGTTTGTTGAAAAATATTACAATGGGAAGGAAATTTAATTCCGTGCCTATGTCTAGATGTTTGTGCTATTATGAACCAAGTTTCGTAACATCATTGCATGTATGTGTACCTTTACTAGTGTTATTTACGTTATGTGATTTTTATTGACACTTCAAGTACGCGTGTCATTGACTTAGCAAAATTATCACGTTGCAAAGTCAAGGTTAAGTCAATGTTAGTTAAATAAAAACATGATGATTGACAGTTGACTCGACAAAGACTTTCAACATTTAATAATTCAAATAGAAATGCATCAGTTCAATTAACATCTTAATAAGTGTTCGATTATCAAATTAGCTAATTATTTGCAACTTTAGAATATAGACCGTGTTAATGATTTGTAGTCTTATTAACTAATCATTTAGGACACAAAGTCTTAAAACACTATACGAAAAACTATTTGGAGGTCAGATTTTATAATACGTTCAAACTTACATGCAAGAGTGACAAAGTTGGAAATCACTACGCAATAAACACGTTTCCTTACAACAAATCACATGTATAAAACAAGTTAATAATTCACAAAGGTGTAATATTGTATATTATAAACACGACATAACACCTACCTGTCGCTGTGAACAGAGCTTAAAAGTTCACACCGGCATGAGTCAACATCACTATCACACTTCAAGGACAACACAAACACAGAACTCATGACAAAAAGTCGCATTAAAATATTCATAACGTTATATTTATACAAACGGAACCTATGTCTGAATTGGAGACCTAAGTGAGTTGTGATTGAGTGTTGAGCGAGATCACAGATCGATGTGACGTCACGTGATCGCTCTTGACCCGTCAGATAACCTGCGGGGGCACCGCTGGGCTGTTCTTGCTGCTTCCTTCAAGTGACATTTCATTAGTTATCTATACATATAATAAAATTGGATTGTATGTGGGTAATATCGAAATATATATTGACAATTCCTATCCAACGTTCTGATACTCAATTCTTTTGTCTTACTAATAATGTATCACCCATGATTAGAGATCCGTTGTAGGAACCGCCTTCAAACTTATAGGCAATCGCATCCTGGATGGCGCATACCAACGAATCTATCCAAGGTCAGTTACAATACTTGATCACACAACTATTAAAACTGTGTCTTTAGCGCACATATCAAAGTTTCAAACAACTAAGTCCCGAGTTGATAAAACATGTTAACATTTTAACTTGTTAAATTTTAGTGCAAAAACAGTTATACTTTCATAGTAATGTTATAAATGCGAAAGTTTATATGGATGGGTTTGTTAGAGTTTGTAGCCTAAAGGGTTGAACAGATTTCGATAAAATTGGTATAAATGTAGGGATAGTTTGGAAGAACACATAACTTGTTTTTTTTCGCAGACGAAAGCTAGTAACGTCATGAAGTCACGCCTGTCCCACTGTTATATCCACATGCACACTTCTCATTATCTGATCATTTAAATTTGATACTTAACACAACAATAATTTTAATAACGTATAAAAGCTTTTCTTATGAGGATAGACTTAATGAGCATTATGTCAATCATTACGTAAGCGATTCTCATACTGCATTGCATCATACCTAATAATGTTCTATTAATTGATCGCTTCCATATATAATTTTTGAATTAAAATGATATTAAAGCACGATGTGAGGCATTAGACCGTATCATTAAATTCGACACGATATCGCGTCTAAATTTACGACGTGATTGACACCTGATACATCAAGATAAACAATTACATTAACTACTAATGTGTAGCTCTGCTACTACTAATGTACAGCAGACAACACTAGGAAAAGATACGTAACTAGTATTCGATTTTAGGAAATTATTGTTTAAACTTGAAAATATAGCGATTTCTTATGTCTTCGTACAAAAAGATTAATATTATTAATAAACTAAAAATATATTTCACACAAATTTATGGACAGATCCGCTCTCGTTGGAACAAAGAAAACAAACTGTTCATTGTTCTCGTTGATGCTTATAACGATGTAAAAATGACTGATGAGGTCAGTGTGGCAGTAATTCAATCGTAGCGGCATTCCGGTTTTTTTTTTTATTGACATGCAAGGCGATGTCGCAGTAGATTAGGCATTCTGTCTCGACTCTATTAAAGACACATCAAACGGATAACAACGACTTATTTATGTTCCCTAACTAAATTAAACCGTATTTATCAGAGCTTAATTGAAACCAATCGCTATCTAAATGGATATAATTTTCAATTAAACTATAAACCATAAATAATATTTGTATTAATTATTCGGCAATGGAAACCTGAAGGAAATAACAAAGGAATAAGCAGTCGACGAGCATTTAGAGAAATGTATAAAACCCAAAATTTCAATTAAAATTTACCGTTTGTTACTCATAGTTATTTTAGCATTTAATGCACACGGATAGTTTTAAAAGGAAAAATTATGGCAAACAAGCTACAACACTTCGATCAACAAAATTTTCGACCGAAGCTACAACATGAAAAATTAGAAACACTTTGAGATGTAGGTTACACTTATTAAAGCACTTAAACAACTTTATGATAATTTAGTTTTGTTAACAAAAAGTCTAAATGGGACGTAGAACAGCTATAAGTTTAAAAGTCTATTTACGTAGCTATTGGCAATTGTTCTAATCATTAGCAGGGTGTCCTTAGGCGATGTCGATTAATAAAACATCGGAATATAATTGTTAGCATTAGTGGTAAAGCGTTGTCATAAAAGCGATACGGGCGAGGAGAGTAAAGATTACGAACGCGTGCGACCCAGCCGCTCGATCGTTTACAAAAATATGCCATGACATCATGGTGCGCGAGCGAGACCTTTTATTGCCTGCTCGCTCATTATAAATACTCTAGCGGGCGTATTTACTCCATTCGCGTTCAATTAGCCACGTTCGATTAGCAGATTCGGACGTCTATGTTAAATTGATGACTTTTAAATTCGCATGTTATATCGGCTTTAAGAAAAAAAACTATTTTAAGGTCGATATTGTTATTGTAATTTCCGAGTGTTATAGCACTTTATTGCCATAAGATTGACGTCGAGCAGCTGTCATGTAATGATTTATAGCTCGTAAAATATAATTCGTCCGGCCGACCCTGCAATCGAATCTGGCCCCGATCAATAATGACAATGCCCCACTTCCGGACCGATAACTGTGACGACATTTTACATTAATGAGATCACAATAAATTAGTTTAATTAGTAGCATTGTAAATTTTATTTAAAAACACTTCACGATATTGTTGTCTGAACCTAACACCACTCATAAATGGTAATGTAAGGATCACCGAGAGTTTGTAGGTTATAGATAAATACTTAAAGCAATTAAGAATACTTACTTAAAACTTATAATTGCAGTTTCATATTATTATTTATACAATTATAAAGAAACCTGGGATAGCAAGAAACGTACAAATCTATACTAATGTTATAAAGAGGAAATATATGTATTTTTGGATTTTCGTATGTATTGAAATAACTCAAAAAGTACTGGACCGATTACAAAAAATCTTGTACCTTTACAGAGAGTTACGTTATCACTGAGTAACATAGCCATAATTTTAGTATTTCTTACCTTAACATAAATCAATCACCCACCATCATTCAAAAGAGAAGGGAACATAAAAAACAATATTTCCGCTTAACAGTTAATAAAAATTTGCAGTTTGCATCTGTTCTACGTTTGATGATGTAATATGAATAGAATACATGTTTACATGTGTTATTATTGTAATATTTTTATTTAATATCGTTTGAAGTTATGGAATTTAAATGTTTGTAGTTTTAAAATAGAATTAAAGTTCATTTAACTACTTGAAAATCTAATTCAAAATCGACGATACTCTCGTGTGAATAAAATATTATGTAAGCTTCATCTACGAGAAACGCATAGTTACATTTTTAAACATTAAGTTAACGCATTATGGGAGGAATAGTAGCCTAGAGGCCTGTCCTTATTCTCGCTTCTAGCGCCTGAAAAACATCCACTTTATAAAGGGGTATATTCAATTCTTAGAATAACGGTTGATTTGAATACAATCTTTGTTGTTACAGACTCATTATATGTTCACACTGCATTATTTGTGTGTAAGAGGTACTCATCTTCACATCATCTTTAAAATAGGTATTTAATACGATCGTAAAATTCGTAAAACATGCGCAAAATCGATCACACCTTTTTAAATTTATCTTGAAATCTATTTAGAATAATTTTTATATTCACAGCGAAGTGTAGCTTGGCATATTAACATAACCTGTACCTACAATGGCTGCCAAGAGGTCGAGACTACACTTAGTCACTTCGAGCTTTTGGATGTGACGTCATATGGAGTTATTGACCCAAGTTAGCAATCGTTCATGTTCTGCTCATCTGACACCCTGCCTCGGCGTATTTCATCACCTGCGCGTGATGCGACTCTACTATTTAGTTTAATTTGTCATATCATTAGGATGTAGGAAAAAAACAAGTATGACTTCATGTCTTTGTTCCCTTTTAATTGTAAACATCAGTGGCACAGACGGCGTCAGCAAAAATTATCTAAAGGGATGAAATAAGCATACTAATTACGATTATGACTAGCAGACGCCCACGATATCGTCCGTGTGGAGAAATAATTTGTAATAAATCAAATAATTCTGTTGATTGAATTGAACTGACAAAATAACTTCTAATTCCCACTTTAAAGGAAGAATTTAAAAAACCTGCTCTTTTGGTCTTTCTCGGTTGCTTTCTTTTTCATTAACTTGTAGTAGACACGTAATTTATACGTCCATAAATTCACGCAATTTTATCAATCTCACGTTTAACAATAAACACGTAAAGTGCTTTATTACATAAACGTTATCCAACAGTCGTACACAACACATTGTGTCGATAAATTGTTTAGTTTCCTCCATTGGCGACCGGCATTCTAACATCAATTGAAGAAATGGCTATAAGAAATATATGAGTATCGAGAAACCTCTGACTTCTATATCTATAGTACTTTCTTAGTTATCATGTAAGTTGTTGAGAGCTTTAAGATGTAAGATTTGTCACATTCAAATATGTGTGGGACATACAAAAGTGGGTTACGATAAATTTATTAGTATTATTTATAAACAAGGAGCGAGGGAGCATTTTGTTTGCTACATATAAATAATGCGCACAAAGCGAATATGTCGCGGTGCGGCAGTGGGGCGCGTAATTAGCCGCATCACCTCTAGCCCGCGACCTGAGTAAACAAGCGACATGATGTCATGTCGATGTTGTTGACCCACAGCCCAGATAGGCGGCCGCTACTCATTTTTGGCCGGCCATACGCCACCAAACTATTAATTCAACGCCCAAGGTCCGATAATAAAATCGTTTATTGCTGTTTTATACCATATCGTTTTAGTGATTACGTCGTTTCTTAGCGTTTTTAGTATAATGATTTAAAGCCCGCTAAACTCAAGT